CTCGTGGCGGAGCGGGTGGTGCTTCTCCGAGTCATCGTCCGACTTGATGCTCCAGGGATGGGTCGCTTTCTTGAACTCGAAGTGCATGGCAAACTCGTACGCCGACAGCTCATGGACGCGCGGATCTCGGCCGCGGGAGCCGTACAGCGTCCAGAACGGACAGTGCCTCACCGCTCGCGGCTGCTGCTGCTTTCTCCACTTGGGTTCCGTGGTCCAACGCTGCGGCTCTGCAGGCCAGGCTTCCGCGTCGGCGGCTGCCTGCAGCAGGCTCAAGCCGTACCACAGCGGAAGGAATACGACGGGTGCGGTGCGGATGGACTCCGCTTCCACGGGGTCGCCGTGCTTGCTCCGCGTGATGAGGTTGCTGCATTCCACGGCACCGCGACAAACACCTCGAGCGAAGCTGTCTGTGATGAAGCGGTTCTCCACCCGTGAGGCCACGTACCCGGCTGGCTTGCCCTTCAGCTCTTCTGCGAGCTCCTTGTTCCCCTTGTTCCACTCCTTGATCTCGTGGATGGCGATGGGGAGGCGCTTGTTCTGGTAGTCGCAGCCGTAGCCTGCCTGGGCGGCCTGGTTCCGCTGGGCTTCTCGAACCAAGGTTCGCACGGCTTGGCTTTTTCCGCGGCAGCTCTCGTCCTGGCATTTGTGGCTGTGAATGTCTTCGTTGATCGGGAAGCGGTAGGGCAGCTGCAGATCGGAATTGCAGCGAAGCGCCGCCAGCAAGGCAGGGTGGGTGCCGTTGAGCTCCGGGTCGTTCACCGGACCCCAGAGGGAGCCGAGCATGCTTTTCTTGCCTTTGACGGGCATGTCCATCTGCCTGGCCAGCCCTTCGCAAACGATCAAGGTCTCCTCGGTCAGCTGGTTGTAGTGCGGGAAGCCGGCCTTGCACTTCGTCGGGTCCCGCTTGTCGCGGCAATGCGAGAGAGGAAGTCTGGGCCCTTGCGGATCCGTGTCCTTGGGCAAATGGACGTGGTGCTGCTTGTGCTTCTGGAGCTCCTCCACGTCCTCTTCCAAGTGTTTCTGTTTCCAGGCTTTCGCGGAGAGCCGGGCATCGCTTTGATATCCGGGCCGACTGAGCATGAGGACTGAGCTCCGGTACTCCGGCCATTCCTTTTCCACGGCGTCGCGCTCCTTCTGCCAGGCCGCCGGATTGCAGTACACGGTGCGCCTCACGTGGGCGTTGTAGGCCTTGTACTTCTCCACCAAGTCCATGTAAGCTTCTCTGCCCAGCGCCACGATCTCCGAGAGGGGCGTGAATTGGTGGAGGCACTGCAAGAACACTTGGAAGTGAGCGTGCAGAGCGCCGCTCCTCTGGCATTCGATGGAGCCGAAGGCTGCATCCACTCTGCCCAGTACTCCGCCCATGGCCGTGGCATTGCTCCCGAACGCGTCCGTGCAGGGCTTGTCCGACTTGGCGCAGTTCGGACAGTTGGGGCACCAGCGAATCCCGAAGAGATGCCGCAAGACCAACTGCACCAACGTCCAGAAGCCATCAGCACAGGCAAGAGGGTCTCTGGCCAGGATCGCCCTCCGCTCGTCGTAGTCTGGCAGGATTTGGGCCAGCACCTGAGGGTCCAGCTCCATGAAATCCTCATCCAGGGGCGGTTGGCCAATTTCCTGACAAGTCGGCTTGCCGCTCTGCTGCAGGGCGGGGTCCGTGTCTCGTGTTCTCGCCAGCCTCAGCATCAGCGTGGAATCCCTCTCCGAAGGCGAAAAGGTCAGGAAGACGGAAGTGCCGTAGCACACTCTGTACGCGTGGGTCTGCTGCCGCATGAGGTTCCTGGTCTCGTGGGTCCCTGGGATGTTGCGGCACTTGGCGTTGACGTCCTGCGCTATCTTCTTCGCAGCAGCCGATAGTCCCGGCACGTGCTGGACTTTGGAGAAGTCGCCTTGCACGCTCTTCTGGGCGCCGGTGATGTCCACGTACTTCCCGCGCTGCAGCTGCTCTCGAAGCTCCGTCGACCCCTGAAGGAACTCCTCGCCCGTCATCTTCTTGCCGCCCTGGGAGTACAAGGAGGTGCTGCCATCCAAGTTCACCATTGTCCGAAAGAGATAGTTCCACAGAACGAAGCCGAAGTTCCAGTCTCGACGGAACTGGGCTTCCACTCGACGGCCCATGATGGCAGCCCAGTCGTGGATGTCGACGGTCGGGGCAGCGGAATCCTTCTGACGCCTCCGACTGACCGATGGGTTCTTCTTGTTGAGAACGTCTGGACACGCGGTGCCGTGCTTGAAGCAGAAGGCGAAGGCCATGGCGAAGTAGCGGGGCTGGAACTGGTCGACGAGAACGTTCCCCGTGGTCGCCACCAACGTCTCTGCTTTCCTCTCTGCAATCTTGTCCACTGCCTCCAAGCTTGTGAGAGCTGCCATGCCCACGGCATTCTGGTCCTGTCGGTCGAGGCTGCTGCCCTCCGCCACGATGGCTCGCGGCCGCTGCGCCGAGAAGGTGGCGCCGGCCTGATTGCGGGATGCACGCTGCTCACTTAACAAACCGGTCTTGCTTGCTCCAAGACTCTGCCGCTGACAAACTCTCGTTATAGTTTCCCTGCCTGATCGATGCTCCTGAGGCCGTCCACCGGCGTGGCGGCTTTCTGCGGTTGCAGCTTCTCCTGCGAGTCGTCCAGCTCGCCGAAGATCTTCACGACTTCGGGCGGCACGCCGTCCTCCGGCAGCGAGCTTGCCTTCTCCCTGATTTTCTCCTCTCTGATATCTTGGAAAGAAGGGTGCCCGTAACGGCGCATGTCCAGGATGAGCTGCACCACCACGTGCCGCCGGACTCTTGCCTGGTGAATCAAGTTCTTCAAGTCCGCCTCGGAAGTCTGGCCCGTCTTGTTGGTCTTGAGGATCACCCGGACGACGTCGGAGAGCTCGTTGGGGTTCCGGGGTAAGTCGGAAGGGCTGGTGTCCTGGCCCTCCAGCTTACGAAGCAGGTCCTCCCAAGGCAAAGGAAAGGTAATCGCATTGCCGCGGGCGCCCAAACGATGGCGCGGCATGTGAGCCGTCTGGTCCAAGGGCGCTCCCTCCGCCCGGTAGCGAGCCTCCATCGTCAAGCAAACGAGGGTCGTGATGTAGGGACTGGCGCACAACATCTCCATGACCGTCACGCTCTCCTGGTAAAGCCTTTCGGGGCCGTAGCCTGTCCACATGTCATTTGCGAGGCTCGCCGGAGGCAGCTTCTTCCTGCTCAAGCAGTCCAGGCAACTGCGACAAACCGGCACCTCGCAATGCTCGCACAGAACTCTGGCGCGGGGATGCTCTGGATTCTTTGTGCATCGGTGATCTTCGGGGCAGCAAAGCAAGCGAACGTGCTGTGCTTCCCCTGCCAGTTTGAGGTGCCAGTTCTCGAAGTCTTCGAAGTCCGTTAACTTGGCGTTTTCGACCAGATGGTCGTACTTTCCAAGGAACTGGTCCAATCCCAGGAGCTGCTCGATGACCTTGACGGGCTGGCCGAGGAACTTGTTCGTCTGCTCCAGAGGACGGTGCCACTGGATGTCGCCCCGAGCGTCCGTCTCCGCGATGCGCGTGTAGCTGCAAGCACAAGAGAAGCAGATCAGGGACTCCACGTGGTCCTCAGCAGTCGCTTCTGCGAACTTTTCCAGGGCCATCCGGTCGAGCGAGCTGCCCGCCAGGGGAGCGGCCGAGCGGCACTTGACGCTCAGAGCGGCATTGTAAACGCTGAGCAGATCGCGCTTATCCTGATAGCCATTCCAGAGAAGATTTGCTAGGGGATCGAGGTCGGCGCCATGCTGCTCGTGGAGGTGCTGAAGCAGGTCGTCCTCCGTGCCCGTTCTGGCGGTCCACAAACAGCCGCTAAACGCGCAGAAGGCATGGGGCCATGCCTCGCCCGCATCCACTTCTTCCGGCAGGGCAAGAGGCGGGAGTGTGGGATGGTCCCGAAGCCTGGTCGTCGCCAGCTTCGTAATGGCATCCTCCATTTGGCGATGCGGGTGGGTGGATGCCGGCGCCACGACCGCCTTGCACACCTCGTCCAGGATGTCTTCGGCACGGTCAGGGGTTTCAGGTGCCATGACGGACTCCGCCGATCTTGTTTTCTTGATTGGTGGCAGTGAATCGCCGCTTTCCAGCGGCGGCAATTCATTCGGCAGTCGCCAGTACCTCATCGGCCGCGTCTGACCCTTCCACGCGGGCACCAGCAGTGCCACATCTTCGGCTTGCACCAATGCATCGTAATGGTCTTGTCCATTGTAGAACACATGAACCGTGGGCAAATCAGCGAGATTTTGAAGATCACGATGGGTGGAGTCGATTGCGACGATGGAGCCGTCGGGAAGGCGCGTGTGCACCTGCACGCGGCATTTCTTCATCAGGGAGAAGGCCACGATGGAGTCGTTTCCAGCCCAAGCCTCCTCTGATCCTCTTTCCAGATGTTCCGCTTCTTCTAGCCAGTTCTCTGCGAAGTCGCCCTGCTCGAATGCATGGGCTGTCAAGAAGCTTGTCACCTCCCGGCGCAGAGCCTGTCCCAGGTCTGCAGGAAGAGGCCTGGCACCGTTCTCGTCCTCCATCGTTCGCTTGTGACCATGGGCCAGCGCGTGGAACAAGCAGTCGCCGTCCGCAACCATCTTTACCACCTGGAGCTGGTGTTCGGTGCCGGTGGCCGACGACCAGCTGCAGCCCTTGAAGGCGCAGAAGACCTGTGGCCAGGCTTCCCCGCTGTCGAGCTCCTCGGGCTTGGCTTCGGGCGGTATCAGAGGCTGGGTCCGCAGCTGGGCGTTTGCCAGGTGCTGGAGAGCGTCTTCCAAGTTCCGCCTGGGGTGGTTGCTGTCCGGTGCCACGGGCATGTTGGTTAGGTCCTCCAGCAAGCTGGGCCCTTCCTCTGGTCTGGACGGCGATGCCTCCGGATCCGATGCGGCTTTGCGTGCCTGGTCCGCTTTGCTGGTTCCGGTTCTGCTGCGCTTGGCTGGGCGGGGTTCCGGGTGGGGTGGTGGTGGCGGTGGCAGTGGTGGTGGTAGCGGCGGTTGCGTGTGGTCCTGGCTGGGCACCAGCACATCGTAGTGGTCCTTCCCGTTGTACCAGAGATGGATTGCTTGCATGATGTTCTGAAAGGCCTCTGCGCCCACTTCCGTGTGTGTGCGCTCGCTCGTGCGGATCTCGCCGTCGGACTCCCGCCAGTGCACAAAAGTTCGCTGTTGTTTCATGAGGGTGAAGGCCACGACGGCCGTGTCGCCGCCCCAGTTGCTCGGGTTGCTTTCGAGGTGTTCGGCTTCCTCCAGCCAGGTTTCCACTTGCTCTTCGTGCTCTTGGGAAAACGCGTTCTCTTTCAGGTACTGGATGATCAGGGATCGTAGGTGGACCCCGTCCTCGCCGCTTTTCTCCGCGAGCGCGTGGAAGAGGCAGTTGCCGTCGCCCGTCATCTTCTTCATGGTCAGCTCGCCCCCAAAGTGCTCCTGCCGGGTGCACTCTCCGTGTGGAGCCGTCGCTTGAACGGACTTAATTAATTAATGGACCCCCGAACGATGCAACCGGCCTCGATGCTGGGGCCGGGCTCCGATTCGTCGTCGGAATCCGGCCCGGCGCCTCCTCGTCGTGCAGCCGGTTCTGCGCGAAGTCGTCCAGCGGTGCTTCTTGCAAGCGTTGCTGGATCGTTGTTGTCGCTTCCGGTCGCGGCGGCCTTTGTTCTTTCGGCCTGCACAGCAGCACACGGTGCGAGAAAGGGTGCATGCATGCGGTTTCGAACTCTTCTGTGCGGCGCCTCTGCCCGCTGGAATGCCTGTTCCAGGGCTTCGTCGTCGTCGGCCGTCCATCGTGGCTGGCACTGCAGCGGCTTCTTTGGGGCCTGCAGGTCATGACGCGCACGGCTGGCAATTTTCTCTTTCTATGTCTCGTTTCGTCACACATTATTTAAGTCCTTGGTTGAATTTTGGCCGTAGCGCCTTCTGTCGTCGGCGTGTTCTTTGCCTTGCGCCGGAGGGCGTGGACGTGCCCCGCCGGGGCGCTGTTGTCGGGAAGGCTTTCCACGCCTCGTGCGTTCGTGCCCGTGTCTTCTCTCTGTTTCTATGTGAGGGTGACGGCAAAAGCTGTCAGCGTGCCTCGTCGATCTTGATTGTTCCGGCCTCGGTCGCGTAGGTTCGGTGCGCAGCTGCGAGATATTCATGCATGTGTTCACGGGCTGTTTGTGCGGAGGCTCTGGGGCAGGCACGGGCGTCAAAAGTGTGAGGCTGCACCTCCTTGCCAGGTAGTCCTTCTTGAACGCTTCGAACTCCCAGCCGATGGCCTCGTGGTTCGGTGCGTGGCTAAGGCCCGAAAGATTTCAGCAGGGGTGGTTCGTTTGCACGTGTCTGCGTGCGATCTCGCCTGTCCGTCGTCGTCTGTCATGTCGGCCCACCGTCGGCTGCTTTCGGGCTGCATGATGGTTTCACCTCCAGGGGCGGAAGGACAGGAGCGAATCGTGTTTTGCCTTCTTCAGTTCCAGTCCCCACGTGCCTGGGGGTTCTCGATTGGATTTGCTGTATATAGCTCGTCTGAGCACAAGATTGGCTGCGGCACACTGGTGGAAAGTCTGTCATAGCAGGGGCATGTTTCATGATCTGCTGCTGCTACCGACATTATAATACTGCCTGAAGCTCCTGTGCTCTTGCTCGGTCTTTCATCCTGGTTGGGGTGAAACTGGCCGAGTGCCAAGACTACACTATGCGCACATGGAAGCTTTTCTCAGTTTCGCCGTCGCACTGACCTGTACACTCAATGGCTGGGGTTTCCTGCACTGTCAATCATGTCCCACATGTCATGGGAAAGGACCAATGTGACCAGCTGCCCGTCTGACGCCGTGCACACTGCTTGGTTGCGGCTCTGCAGACGGCCTTGGGCTGCCGCGGCTAGGGCAGCGGATGTAGCAAGCTCTTCCATCTCCGGCAAAGGGTTTGACATGCCGGTGATTCGCAGCAGCTCGCCGCCGGCCACCGTGGTGAACACCACGTCGACGGCATTTCGTGCGACAGGTGTCAAGCTGCAGGTGACAACAAAGGGTGAGGGCACTGCACGGACGTAGACCTTTTCGGCAGGATAACTGTCTTCAGCTTCGAACACAGCAACCTGAGCATCTGCTGGGTGCCACTGGACGAATCGGCACTGCAGCCTCTCCACGAAATCGGTGGAAAAGAAGTGCAGATCCCATCGAGGAGTTGCTTCAGTGGTAAAGGCCGCACCGTCCGAGTCAATCAATGACCACGAGCCAGGACCGCCTTCCAAACACCGGCTCCACTCCAGACAGCGGCCGTCCATCTCGTGGGTGCTCTGAAGGCAAGCAAATGCAAGCTTTGAGCCGCAAGAGTGAGGCTGCGGAATACAGGGTGCAATGCTCAAGCAGCATCTGCAAGACTGGAAGCTACATGCTTCGATCTCCGCCGCTCTCCCGCACACCTGGGAAGACTCGGGAACGATGCTCTGGGCCGAGCATGTTTTCACTCGTGCGCCAGTTGCCTTCCTTGTGAAACCAGTATCATTTCCACTTGTATTCCAGCTGAAAGACGGTATGCCTCTACCTGGAACACAGCTACGTACAGCTACGAGGGAGCTTTCCAAGTAAATTTCCTTCATACAGAGGACGGGAATATGGATTGCCAGGTGGTTCGCAGGCTCCCCACGCCGATTTTCTTCATAAAGCGGACGAAGGTGACGATTGTCAGGTGATTCGCAAGCTCTCCAAGCCGATTTCCTTCATAAATTGGACGAGGATATGTCAGGCGGTGGGCGGGCTTCCCAATTGAACTCCGGGAGTCCTCGCTTAGTCGTACCTTGGCATTGGAAGGGAATCACTGTAAACACAAGGCAAGTATGAACATGTCTAGTGGCAGTCCAGATGCGACCAGAGCTGTACCTTGGCTGTGACATGATGACAGCTGGTTTGGGTTGCTTTATGCTGCAAGCGAGACCTGACAGCCAGAGCTTCTGCCAGTGATGTCTTCATCTGTCGGGACTCTTTTATGGTGGATGGGCTTCTGCCGAAGCTGCTCGCCTTGGTTGTGCGTGGAGTTCTCGCAGGCAACGCGTGCGCATGAGGACTTTACCGCCTGCGAGTTTCGAATGGCTTAGCTGCATTCTCCGAGTCTCCCCAATTGTGGGCCGATTCCTGACGAGGTTGAAGGTCTTGGCTGAGGGCGATTGTGAGATACTGGCATTACGATTTAGCACGAGGCCGACAAAATGGGTTTGAGATGAGAGCCCGGCGTGGTGGTCTTCAACATCGAACATGCAAAGATTTTTGAAAGCACGTATTGCCTTTGTAGGGACTCTCAATCGTGGATGGGTCTCCAGTCTTGGGCCGAGTGAAGGGAAAGTGTAAACGTGCATGCGTGTAGCTGCAGCTTGGTGGCCGTCTTCCGTTGCCGGCCTCGTTGGTTGTACCTTGGCATCGGCAAAGAAGGAATGCAAACACAAGACTAACGAACACGAGCACGGACATGTTTAGTTGCAGCCGAGTCGCTTGCACCAAAAATCAGTCCTTGGCTTGGACATGTTCAGTGAATGCATGCGTGGGAAGTATGAGAGTGTGAAGGTCTTCGAAGGCACCCCCCAGCGTACTTAGTACTGGGATGGCCTTATTTTAGGCGCCTTATAAGAGAATGTCCCGCAGCACACGCTCCCTGCTTCCCCGATGTTTCTGGTCGGATTGAAACATCCTTCGCCCATATGTGTTCACCGATTGGAGATAGATCGGATCCCCGGTAGTAACGCGCACCCGCGAGCGAGTACACGCGTTCCCGTTGACAGGCTCAATGGGAAGCCCCCTTGGCCCTTGGCACTGAGGAAAACAAACCGATCCTCGCGCAAAGCGCGTCCGTGGCACACATCCCAAAAGTATGCCCGCGGCCTACTTTTGGAATGCTCAAGGAAGGCACCTCGGCTCTTTTTAGGTATTTGGAGGCCGCTTCGCTAGTGAACTGGCGCGTACAGCAGTCGCTGTAGTTCAACGCCATTACTAGCTTCCAAAAGACAGTTAGCATGTCCCCTTAGGGGGCGAGCGGAGGGTCCAAAAGCGCATTGTGTGTACGGTTCGGGTTCGGCGTTTTCGGTGCTTGGCTGCCACTTGCCAGGCCTCATAAATTGCCGGCAGGTGGCAATCCTAGGGGTGTAGATTGTCAGAAGGTGGCAATCCTGGTGGGGGAGGGGGGCTAGATTGCCAACAGGTGGCAATCACACTTGAGTTTTTGGTGCTTAGCTGCCACTTGCCAGGCCTAATGGATTGCCGACAGGTGGCAATCTTAGGGGGTCTAGATTGTCGGAAGGCGGCAATCGTAGCGGGGTACAGATTGCCAACAGGTGGCAATCACAGGGGATCTAGATTGTCAGCAGGTGGCAATCTTAGGGGGTACAGATTGCCAACAGGTGGCAATCTTAAGGGGGTACAGATTGCCAACAGGTGGCAATCACAGGGGATCTAGATTGTCAGCAGGTGGCAATCTTCGGGGGTACAGATTGCCAACAGGTGGCAATCTTAAGGGGGTACAGATTGCCAATAGGTGGCAATCCTGGTGGGGGTTGGTGGAAAGGGGGCGGATGGCTGTCACACTCCCTTGCTGGCCGGTTGCCCCTTTGGATTGTCAGCAGGTGGCAATTTTCAGGGCTTCAGATTGTCAGCTGGTGGCAATCTGGGTGGAGCTTGGTGGAAAGGGGGCGGATGGCTGTCACACTTCACTTTGGCCCTATGCTTCCTTGGATTGTCGGTAGGTGGCAATCCCGAGGGGACCAGATTGTCAGCAGGTGGCACGACAACTAGGACTAACAAAATGGGGCTTTTTTTCTGCACTGGTTCTTGGCTTCTTGGTTTAAGGATGTTGAGCACGACAACCAGGGTTAACAAAATGGGGTGTGTTTTTTTCTGCTCTGGTTCTTGGCTTCTTGTTTTAAGGATGTTGAGCACGACAACTAGGACTAACAAAATGGGGCTTTTTTTCTGCACTGGTTCTTGACTTCTTGTTTTAAGGATGTTGAGCACGACAACCAGGGTTAACAAAATGGGTGTGCGTTTTTTTCTGCACTGGTTCTTGGCTTCTTGTTTTAAGGATGTTGAGCACGACAACTAGGACTAACAAAATGGGGCTTTTTTTCTGCACTGGTTCTTGGCTTCTTGTTTTAAGAATGTTGAGCACGACAACTAGGACTAACACAATGGGGCTTTTTTTCTGCACTGGTTCTTGACTTCTTGTTTCAAGGATGTTGAGCACAACAACAAGGGTTAACAAAATGGTGTGTTTTTGTTCTGCACTGTTTGCTGGCATCTTGGTGCTTGGGAAATTGATGCAAGCATGACGCAAGCATGACGCAAGCACGCTCTAGACGTGGACATGTTTGATTGCAGCCGAGTTGCGACCACCAGAGCAATGCCTGGGCGAGCACATGTTGAGTTAACATATATGTTGATGATGGCCGTGGACATGCACGTGTTTAATTGCAGCCGAGTCGCTTGCACCAAAAATCAGTCCTTGGCTTGGACATGTTCAGTGAATGCATGCGTGGGAAGTATGAGAGTGTGAAGGTCTTCGAAGGCACCCCCCAGCGTACTTAGTACTGGGATGGCCTTATTTTAGGTGCCTTATAAGAGAATGTCCCGCAGCACACGCTCCCTGCTTCCCCGATGTTTCTGGTCGGATTGAAACATCCTTCGCCCATATGTGTTCACCGATTGGAGATAGATCGGATCCCCGGTAGTAACGCGCACCCGCGAGCGAGTACACGCGTTCCCGTTGACAGGCTCAATGGGAAGCCCCCTTGGCCCTTGGCACTGAGGAAAACAAACCGATCCTCGCGCAAAGCGCGTCCGTGGCACACATCCCAAAA